ACATGACTATATAAGCTAGCGATGAAATCAGGTGTGCATATATGACATGAGTGAGTATAAATAACAGTATCAACATGTTAGTGTCAATGTACATGAAACGTCGTGTTCTTCAACTATCAATCACACGATCATAATACAAAAATAATCTTTTTCCAAAATAACTTCTTTAAAAGCATTTATCATTCTAAAATAATTTCCTTCCACGACAAAGATTCTAAAAATATTATAATTAATCTAAAATAATTCTATTACCCAAAATAAATTCTTTAATTTATTATATTTGTCCTAAAATACTATTTATCACACAACTATGATTTAATCAATATTATTCAACAAACAACCCACACAGATAATCATATTACAACTAATCTACACATATAATTAATAATTATTGAAATAACAAGGAGATGCGGGATCTTGCAAGCAACTAATTAATTCACAACAAATCTAAGAATTGAATGACAAGTCAAGAGAGTATCTGGATCTTGCCTTGGGGTTTCATCGAACGAATCGATACTGACGTGTGAGACTACGGCCCGCGGATGAGGCGACGGTGTCGGTGGTGCATGACGGTGAGGAGGGCTCGGACTGCAGCGACGACGGCGGTCGGTTGGATGCACGCCGACGTGGCGTGGTCCAGGAGGAGGGGCTGCAAGGCTTTGTAAAGCAACGACGGCGACGGCCGGTGGCGTCATACCGAGGCCCGTTATGCGAAAATGAGACTAAACGGCAGTCGACATGAGGCACGGATCAGGCGGTTGCGAGGTCCGGACACGCGCACCGAGATGGTGTCTCTCGAAACCGGGCAAGCGACTGGCGGAAGCTCGTATAAAGTTCAACCTCGGTGGGTGACTATCAGCGAGATCAAGATGAACACGTGAACGAGCGAAAAGGCGGTGAGGAGCAGGGATCGCATTGGTAGGAGGGGTTGTTCGACACGCAACCACGCATGGATAACACTCCGCTGCTCGTCCGTGGTCGCGTCGCTGACCGGCCACACAGGGAAGGCGGGGGAAGGCCGCGCTGTGAGGCGTCAAAACGAAAGGGCATGTTGTGTGCCGGTGGCGCGGAGGAGAACTGGCTGGAGCGATGGAGCTTGACTGGCAATGTTGTAGGCCGGTCGGCCTGCGCGGCAACGTGGCGAGTTGGGGTCGACAGAGGGCGTCGGAGGCGGCTGACGAGGGGCTGGAGCCGGCTGAGGGGTTTGGGGTGAAAACGAGAAGAGTCAGGGGCGGGTGTTTTTGGGGAAGAAGAGAGGGAGAGAGAGAAAAAGATGTATATATATATATATAATTAGGGTTTGGGTTAGGGTTTAAAACAAAAATAATTATAATAAATAATTTCGGGCACTTAAAAATTAAACTAATTACATAATAATTATTTACAAATAAATACGTACATGTTGAGCTAATACAACAGTTGATACGAAATAGTCGAAATATACCCATATTGTACAATTAAACGGAAATAATTAATAATAATAATATATTTACTTACATTTAAAATCATATAATTATGGGATAATTATATACACAGTAAAACGTATCAGTTGTACTAATACGACCGATAATACGCAACAATAGAAATAATACAAGAAATTATACAAATAATACGTAATTAATAATACAACGTATTATACAAAAATATACGTAATAATAATAATACCACATATTATTCAAAATGATATGTAATAGTATCGGTAACACAAAGGATAAATTTCATAAATATTTACTGCCCTAAATAAATTTATAAATATTTAAATCATTTAAATAAATATAAAACTTAGACTTTAAATCATAGAAAATTATAGAAATTCAAGAAAAATATAAATACTCTTTTAAAAATCATAATTAAATATTTTAAAATACTAAAAAATTATTTTAACTAGTATTAAAATTCATGGTCCTTACAGTGAGCTAAATTGAGTTCTCATCTATTATAGAGAACAAAACTTTGTAATTGAGCATTCATTGTGAGATCATTTTGTAATATATTTATACACCAAGAGAAGTGTGTGGTGAGAGACGAGGTCAATTCCAAGAGGAGTGACGTTGGTAGTAAAGCCTAAAGAGATGTTGTAAATCCGAGCACTTGAGGAAGACGACACGGGCTAGAGACCAACACTTAGAGGTTATAAAGTGTGATTGCAAGAGTGTGAGTTGTGAAAGTTTTCGGTGAGCTAGAAAATCGAAATTGTGTGAAGTTGTAAACGTTTTGGGTGAACGTTAAAATCCCGATTGTGATAGTGGATTCTCCTCGGGAGTGGGGAGCGGAGACGTAAGTCAAGAGTGGCCGAACTCCGTGATCATATCGTGTGTTTGCATTGCCTATCTTGTTTTATCTTATTTATGTTTATTTTCATACTTAGTCTAATATCCTTGCATATAATCTTTTGTATATCTCTCTTGTTAGGATATTTTGTTAATAAGTTTTTAATTTGCATTAAATCGGATTAGATTAGCATATTACCCTAGCCACCCCCTCTAGGGTATTTTCAAAAAGCATAATAGTTTCGGCTAGAGATGCACCGTGATGTAGAAGATATGTGATGTCATTATTAACAGTGATAGAAGAAAGATCTTATCTCTCAGCGTTTGGTGGAGAAGTTAGGCTTGAAGACAGAGAAACACCACACCCCGTGTTCGATCAACTGGATTTGCAAGGGCAATGAAGTGCAGAACGATATGATATGTCGAGTACCTTTTTCTATAGGCTATTATGTTGATGAGGTATTTTGTGATGTGGTTAAGATAGATGTTTGTGCCACCCATAGAAGTAGAGACAATGTTTATGTCTTCAAGAAGGATGGACATGGAATTATACTCATGTCTTTTCAAGAAAAGGAATCATTCATGATAGAGACTACTGAGAAGAAGAAATTTATAGTGGTAGACAACAAGACTTTAGCCGAAGACTTGAAGCAATCTGAAGAGGTATATGCCTTGGTTGTAATTGGAAAAGGAAAAACCTGCCCCTGCTGAAATTCCTCCTAATGTACAAACACTCGTTATGCATGAGATTCATGATACTGATGGTGATATAATAGTGAAGGTAGCTATTATGCATGATATTTTTAAAGAGGTTGTGAGCGATATTGCACATATTGATATTGTCCTGATGTGGAAAAATGATAAAATAGAAAGTACGACAATTAATGATATGTATGAACTACTTAGGGGAGGGCCCAAAACAAAGGAGATGGAGTGCAAGAAATTTTTTTTTCTGAATATAAGGATTGCCAATGATTTTAACAAGATTGAGATGAAACTGAAGGCACAAGAATATAAAAATTAACAATGAACTAAATTGGGGGATTTTTTCAAGTTATCTTTAGATTCACATGCTGTAAGTCACATTAAAATAATGTGGAAAAAATTCATTTAAAAGTTTGATTCTGAAGAAGCCCTAGCTAAGAAGGTAAAAGAACAGATAGAAAAAAAATCAATGCTAAGTATAAGGCGGACGATGATCGATGCAAGGAGAAGGAAAGTGTTTATCAAGGAAGCTGCTATTCAAATAAATATAAGCTCAGGGTCAAGCTTCTTTCAACAAAGGGAGACTGATGTAGGATGCATAACAAGTAAATTTATGAAAAAGTGGGACATTCACGAGTCAGATGTAGATACAGATGAATTATTGACTAGTCGTAGAGAAACAACCGTATCTCCCAGTCTGGAAGGCGAATTCTAACATATTATATATGAAAATCGCCTATCTCGACGAGACATAATCAATAAGTTTGGCAGAATCCCACAGTCCCATCATTAACACCCGTTTTTCCACGATTTTAGAAACAATCAGTCGTTAGTTTATTTTTAGTAATAAAATTAGAGTCAATTTAGATTTAAAAATAAAATCAATTTTTATTTAATTAGGATTGATTTATTTCTTTTATTATTAGGAGTCTTTTAAGTAGTTTTAAATTATTTATTTCTCTTAGGAATTTTATTTTTGTTAGGAGTAGACTTTGTTTTTCTATTTAAGAAGAAGAATTGTAAACATCATGGACGAGATCATTTTTATCAATAAAATTCTCTTTTATATTTTTTCTTGGATTCGATGTTATCTCTTCGTGGATTCGAAGATTGTTTTTTTTTTATCCAGAAAACACCAATTGGTGGATTCTAAGATTTATCACTTCCGCGCTGCGTTAACGAGCACCTTCTCCAACCTCTCGCTTACACAATAGAACAACGGGGTCTCATAAAAATTGTTGGGTTCAGTTAGAGAAATGTTACCATGGGACCTCTGTGTATAACACTTTGTACTTACCACGTAACCTGCTCTCCTTAACTTCTGGAAGATATACGGATCACATGTGACCTAGTAAGAGAATCTCACGAAATCGCAACAGATTGTGACGGCAGGTTAACCGAGCTCGATTAAAGTTGGTCGAGTTCTAGTCATAGTCACCACTTGGAGGATAAAACAATTTTTCACTTATTATCAACCAAATCAACTTAAGCTAATTGATATGAAAAGAAAATATCCTCAATTAACATCGAACAAAAAGGCACCGGTAAAGAAAACGAACACATCTATATATAATACGAGCTCTCTACCTTCCACTGCCAGAATCTTTCCGGTTCTTTTCTTCATCAGTACTGATCCCTATCCCTTCCAAAGCAAGCACCAAGCTCTCTTCCGTCGCTCTCGCCCTCCTTCGGGCTTCCCGACTGTCTCTCAGCAGCAGCATTCTGCGTCTCTGCAGTCCCACCTTAAAGTACTCCGCATCCCTCACAACAGATATCCTATTCCGAGAATTTAGCGTAAAAGTCACAGTAAATCACACTTTTTTTCCCCAAATTGAGTTGCATGAGCTTAGCGTCAGACTCATAACCAATCGTGTTTTTTTCATCATAAGAGAGAATTCTATTAAATATCCATTTAGTAAAGCTACAACTCAAGTCGATGACCAGAGCTCTTCACAAGGCAATATCACATTGCGGGCAGTAGAGAAGCCAAAAGAATGATAAAAGACGGTAAAGAAAACACAGAAATGAAGCATTCAATTTCCTCTTACCAACAAAAATGAAACTCGGTTGATCAACAGAACACAAACAAAAACATAACACATAGCAATCGATAACAGGCCTTTAACCTCGACTACAGCTTGCCTCGTTACATACTGGCACCGCAGCAAATACAATACAGGCTTATCACTACTAAATACGCTATACAACGAACTAAGGATTGACAGTTCGAAAGCTTATAAGTTGAGCGTACATGAGACAGGCAGTAATTTCTGAATGTAGCAAGTTATCTCCAACCAGGTCCTTTAATATAAGCCCAAGCAATAGTCATCATAAAACCAGTACACCTTGTCCATCCTCAACTACACTTAATTGATCAGGATCTGCGGTAAGTGCCTTTCGAAACAATAAGCTAACAAAAATCTCATACCCGAGAATAGCGAGGCAAAGAAACGTAGAAAATTAGTTTTATGCATCACAGTGGATCAATGTCTTAAGGATATAGCTCTTGAGATACTTATTCTCCATGCAGTGCAAAAAATAAAAGATAGTCCAGCAATATTGCAAGCTTTTAAGCGTCAAGATCATCAGAAAAATTAATTGCAAGATCCCAATAGTGTGGAACTCCAGCATCTGCAAAAATTTTCCTAGCAGCAGCTTCACTTCTACACTGATGAACAAGAAATCTATGAAAGCTAGGCTTCGCAACACTCCCTTGCCAAACCAAAGAGCAACTATTGACTACAGAATCAGCATTCTCATCTCCATCATCATCATTGCTCACAGCAGCTGCCCAGTTTATCCTCTTCAGCATCAGCTTTCCATACCTCTTAACAGATTTCTTACCACCTTCAACAACAACAACACTGATGCCATCAGATATCACAGCACATCCACTGAGGCGATTCTCTTGAGCATTCACATCGACCTTGAAGCGTGTTTGAGGATGAGAGAGGTCATTAATTTTGTAAACAGAAACTAGGGTTTCCAAAGTGTTTGGATCCTCAAAGAGTTTCCTTTCGAGCAATGTTTCTATCGACGTGAGCTTGCTCACGCTCAGCAGCAGCACTGCGAATTTCCATTTCCAACCTTGTTGGATCTTGAGTTGCTTCGGAGCCAAGGACTTTCATGAGATTACTCATTTTGACTTTAGGCTTGGGAGGCTCTAGTAGACCTTGCCTAATCATCTCCTGCCTGTCCTTTTCCTTTGCAAGGCGGCGTTGAGTCCTCAGTTTCTTCTGCTCCTTTTTTGTAAGCTTGAGGGGTTGTGGTGGTGGCGGGGCTGGCTCTGCTGGTGGCTCAATAGGACGAGGATGCTCTACGTATATCGTGATCTTTTCCATGTTCAGTTTTTCTTCAGCATCGTCAGTGTAAGATCCAGAAGGTAAGAGAGGTTTGTCCCTGTTTGCAGTTATATGACATCAGAAAAAACAGTAATGGAAACACAAAAAGGATTATGATAAATAGTTGGGACTTACCACCACTCAATTTCGGGTATCTCATCCTTCTTTTTTTCTTTGAAAACCCTCTCACCAATGGCAATTAAATTTGGGTTATCATCAGGCTCGGCCTTTGCCTTAGCAAGCTGTGATTGCTTCACCTTCAGCTCCTTGGATTGTGCTTCACCAAATTGATTCTGACATCGAAAGGTTGTGGTATAAATAAAAAGGTATATGAGATAACATTTCAATGTCAGAACAGATAATTTTAGTAATGGCTGTACCTTAATTTTGGTGATCTCTGCCTGTTTAGCCCATTTACCTTCCTCCACAAATTGAAAAGACATCCTTTTCGGCCTTAATAGTTTGGTTTTGTTAAGACCCATTCTCTCATCAAAATGAGGATTTGATTGTATGTCAGCATCAAGTTCTGGTCGCAATATTTGAAATGCTTCCTTCTTCTGTTTGTTGATGTTTACCTGGTTTTTTCCACAAAAATTATAAGTGAATTGAAGTATTCAGTTATAAAGAGCGTTAGCAAGAAATATAATACCTTCAACGTGCTGAGATTTGTCAACTTAGGCATATTAATGACATTCCCATGTTCATCTATTTCTCTACCCTGAGCATCTAATCGCAGTACAGGAACTTTGGAAGGTCGAGGTGCTGCCATCTCAGGTACTGTTGATGATCCAGGAAACATATTTATAAGAGGGGCAAACTCTGGATCCTGACGATATCCCATCTTTGCCGCGAGCTCTTGAGCACGCTTCACTGCTTCAATTGCTGGTTGGTTTGCAAGCCCAGAAAGGGTACCTGTGCCAGTGGTAGTAGCACCAACAGGTAAACCTGCAGAGCTTGACGTTAACTGAACTGAGGTCATGGAAGTCGTTGCTGGAGTAACATTCTTCCCTTCTCTATTAGATGCTACCTGCGAGTTGCTTGTACTAGCAAGCTTATTTAGCTGTGAAGCAAACAATGAAGATTAATTGGTTATAAAAAAACAAAACTAAAGAGTTATTTTCTTAGACTATATTTACCGTAGGAATCTTCTTTAGCTTCTCAGACAATTCCTTCTGCATCTGTAAAGCTTTCTTAGCTTTGGCTAAAGCATCAAGAGACAGACTGCCGCTTTTGCCAGCAACTGAAGTAGTAGTCCCATCTGTACTAGATTTTCCAGTAACCTCATCAGATCTGATAATACTAACTCCCTCATTTTCATTGGTGGTAGTAATTGAAGATACCTTAGTACGAAGGGGATGACTAGCAGCTGCAGGGGTCATGGAGACCTCTGATGCCACAGTAAGCGGTTCCTGAGCAACAACCTGGAAGGCCCACAAAGAAATGCAAAAGTTAATAAAAGAAAACAACGTCACATTTGTCGAACACGTAAGTTATTTTACTGAAAAGATGTCATAAACTAAACAGGCTATACTCTCACAGAAAGCTATTTTAAATTGACATCAGGTTAGCTACTAGAGGTTGTATGCAGGATCAGTATCATCATCGTCCTGTGAGCCTTTTCCTATCAAAATGAAAGCATGGCCATATGGAGAGAAGTTACCGATTAAAACTTTGCCACATAAAATATTACGCTAAACACAAAAGTTACTGAGATACATAAATTCTTTAAAAGAACTGCTGATCACAACATGAAACCAACCAACTTAAATACCAGGCCAATAAAATGTGCACTACTTCTATAAATGCGAAGAAACAATCAAACATTCATGACAAACCACTAGCATTCAACAAGTACCTCAAACAGGTGGACATGAAAGAGAACAGGAATATGGCAAACAATGAACTTAGATTTGAAGTGATCTGATACATATTCCACCAATGAAGGAAATACAATTTTCTCAGACATGATTACAAATAATGACATAAAAAATCATATTCCTAGATTGGACCAAAAAGTTAACACTTCTTTAAAAAATCTCTAAGCTTTACTAGGTTGCCCTCTTTCTTCATGCTTGTTTTGGCACATCTAACATTATCTGATAAAAATATCTATAAGAGTTTGGTTTAATTAACCAATAGACAAAATTAATACATGTTTTCTACAAAGCGCATCGTAAAATTCGGATTTGGCTTCCATAAAGTGAGATACGACAAAGGATGCAAGGCGCATGCTTCATGAAATATCAAAGAGTATTAGAATGTGATAAAAGCTTGAAACCAATATCTCAAGAAGATGATACAGAACAAACTCTATTACATATAACATAATAGGGTCTGGCACTTGCTAAATGATAGATAACCTTTTCTTTCATACTTAAGTCTTGCCACACTCCTACAGCTTTCATCATGTAGAATTACATAGGCATGAATTAGATCCTACTGTGTTTGGCAACTCCTAAGAACTAGTTTTAGTGGATATAAGCATGGTCCAAAAGCTAGTTTTTAGTCTGGCAGAACTCAGGACAAATGTGATCTAGTTTTTTTAAGTTCAATTTCTAGCCCTTATATTTTGGACCAGCCCCTACATAAGACCAAATCTAGCCTAGTTAAGCAAAAACTAGTCCTAGACCAATCTTGTTTTGGAATTGCCAAGCTGCCTAGATCACATTTAACCCAATCTTGTTTTGGATGTCGATGTAATGTCAAGCACACTTCTCAACTCACCAATGAGCCTCATCTCTTTTCTTGATGTAGTACTACAAATATTATACACATGCATAAGGGATAAAAGTAAACAAACTACTTTGTTGGCACTTTAGCAGATGGTGTTTTTTTATTTCCCTCGGCAATTCCAAGTTTTGAATTTCTTTTGTATGATATAGAAATTGACATGTAAAATATATAACTAAACGCATTACAAATATCACAAGTTTATTTTTTTTTAAATGAGAAAGGACACTCTCCTGTCACCATTAATCAAATTATCCTTTGCCTTCTTCCCTTCTTCTTCACCTCCAAAATCCTCTTCTTTCACCCTATCCTTAAACCTCCTCTCCACTCTACTCTCCTTCCTACCTACACTCTTCGCTTCGTCTCGGCCCTCTTTCTCTTCTTTAACTTTAACACTGTCACTAAACCTCCTCCCCTCTCTCTTCCTCTTCCTACTACCTTCAACATCGCTCAATTCCTCATCCTTCACCTTGTAATCCCCATTCTCCTCCTCAAACCTCCGCCTCTCCTTTCGATCATCCGAAGCCCTAGCCCGCTTCTTATCCCCATTCTCTTCATCACCGTCACAGTAATCATAATCGTGATCTTTCCTCTTCCTCGACGAGTGCGAAACCCTCTCTCTTTCTACAGAATCCCTAACCCTATCCCTTTCTACAGAATCCCTGACCCTCTCCCTTTCAACCGAATCCCTAACTCTATCGAGGGACCGCTCGCGCTTGGATCCGTTCCGGCGATCCTCGTCGTGATCATCGCCATGGTGGTGGCGGTGCTTGTGCTCTCGCTCGCGCTCGCGCTCGCGATGGCGGTGGTGATCTCTGGCGTCGGATCTGCTGCTGTCTCGCTCTCTATCGCGATCATCTCGGGATCTGTGGCTTGATTTGTCGCGATCTCTCTCTGGAACCCTATCCATCTTCTTCTTCTCCCGTTCTCTCTTTGCCCTTTTGCTTCTGGTTTTAGGGTTTTCGGATGATGCCTTGAGAAAGTGCGAGAGAGAGAAATTGGGATTTTATCGATGGCGTCGAGATCAAAACTGGGCTGGGCCCGGGTCAGGTCCAGAGATGACCCGGAACCACACCCAAAACAAATAGTGGACAATTTTATTTTATTTTTATTATTTTTTTTTTTTTTACCAGCTGGGAAGGAAAAAAACAGGGGGGTGAATTGTTTGCAGTCCTAAATCAAGTAACCGTTCTTGATATTATCACGCTGACCGTTTTTGGATTAACCGGATTGTCAAAAGGAAACTATTAGCGGATTTCCCTTGCATAAAAAATTGAAATCATAGAGCAATGCGGGTGTCCCGGATGGTTGGGGAGTTTCAGTATGGCTCCCACAATCTTGGATTCGGTTGCCGGTAGCTTTATTATCTGAAAAAAAAGGACTGAAATCATATATTAATTTCTTCACTCTTTTTAGCTTGGTCTCCGTTTTCCTCGAAACTTTGATGAAAAAAACCGGTGATTGGCAAATGAAAGCTTGATTGCATTTATTTGCCATGATAGGCACATCATAATTGGAAACGTTTGGCATTGGTGCGCTTCTGTTTGCTGAGTGTAATATTTTTGCATGATTTTAAAGCTTGCCAACTAAATTTGCCCACACTGAATCATACCGTGCACATAAATCTCCACGAAACAATTGATGCATGGTAACATAAGCATTAAACTCTACAAAGCCCTGGTTATCCAAATGGCACTAAAGCGAAAGGTGTTCACGGACTCCAATCTACTAACACAGTTTTGAACAGTAAAGTTTTTTGGCCAGCACTAAATCTCGCACTAAATCGACACCTCTCTCATATCTAGCCCTTCCAGAGCATTGCTTTCTCTTAGCCTATGTTTGGTAAAGGGCTAAAGAAGAGAGATCAAGGAGAAGGTTAACGTAACTAGCCCATTCGATAACCCGAAAGACTAAATAATTAACTCACTAAATAAGTTTTATTTTAGCATTGTGATTAATTCTAGTGTTTGGGAGTAACGTTATCTTTATAAACAATGGGATAACTCTTAATCCTTCTAAAAAGAGTATTAATAAACCGTCATTTTTATCTGTCTTGAGGGGTTAGCTTAACACTTATGTAATGACGTGATTCAAAATGCATTGGAAAGTCAGAGAAGAGACCTACAACTTCCTATGGACAAAACACACAAAGAGTGCACGATACATGAGTAGTTCTCCATCTTTTTGGGCAAAACATAGCACCCGATCGAGTCGTTTCTTTGTTATTTCGTTGTCCCGTTGATTTGCATGCTATGCCAACTCACTTCATGTGCTCGTTAGCTTTTGTATGATAACAGATAATCCTCCTCAACTTGGATGATTATGTTTATCACCTTCTCTCTATCAAGAGCTACGTATGGGAACCTATAGGTAATTTTTTACGCCTACAACTTCATGTATTTTTTTTATCTTGGGACAATCCCTTACTATATGTATCGGCTCATGGCACTCAAAGTATTTACCTACATGAGAGGGGAAATTGTTAGAATAGTTGTTTTTAAAAATTTTATTCATTCTTACCAATCTTGATATTCTCCATGAGAGATGTGCCACTTCTTTGGAGACATCAATCTCACTATCGAATGAGGAGGAGTCACTTTTAATTACTCCTTTGAGAGCTATTGACTTCATCTTTTAGGAAGGATCTTCATTTGTTCATTGGGGTTCTTCCTCCTACTCCTTGATCTTCTTCTCGTGAACTTTGAGTTTGCCAATAGGCAATCAAGTTTAAGCGTTGTAAGATCATTGGCTTCCTCAATAGCCGTAGCTTTGGGCTCCCACGCCGGCATTAGAGAGCGAAGGATTTTATAGTTCTTCTCTTGGTTCTCCAACACCTTGTCAAGGCCATGTAATTCATTAACAATATTAGTAAAATCGACAAAACATGGCATCAATTGACTCATTTAGAAGCATCTTAAATAACTCATATTCATGCATGAGGCTACTAATTTTGAACTCCTTGACTTGAGGAGTTTCTTCATGAGTGATACATAGTTTCTCCCAAGTTTTGTGTGCGGTTTCATACGTGGAGACTCTATTATAATCATTTGGAGTGAGTCCACAAATCAAGGCATTCATGGATTAACATTAAAGTTAGCTAAATATCGTCATGCTCGGTCATGTCTTTGCTAGGCTTTTCAGCATATTTCCTCTCTACTATTTCTAGGATGTCAAGATCAATGCATCGCAAATAAATTCTCATCCTAGCTTTCCAATAGGCAAAATTATTGTCGGTAAATAAAGGGGGTCTAGTAGTTGATTGACCTTCAAGCATATGCATATTTATGTTTGAATCCATTTGGATCTTTACTCTAAGGTGGTTCGACCTAATTAAATGTAGAGACCTTGCTATGATACCAAATGAAATTACTCTAGAGGGGGGTGAATAAGGTAATCAAACAATAAATGTGTAATTAATGAAATTTAGTCTAACACCATAAACAAATTTAAACTATGGTAATAAATAAGAGAGAGATATGTTCACGAGGTTCGGTCCTCACGACTTACGTCCTCGACCACCTCTCCCGATGGTAATCCACTAATCACACCCGGTTTGGAAGCTAAAATTTTTTCACAATGATCTCCTCGAGATCTCGCAATCCACACAATGATCTCCTCGAGATCAAGCTCTCCACATAATACAATAAGATGAAGAGATCTCTCTTACAGCAATCCTATAGCAAGGATTAAGAGATGACAAATGAAGCTTGGGGTTATATATTTGAAAGTGTAAAACTAAAATTGAGTAAGATGAAAGATTAAGCTCAAAACACACAAAAACACAAACTCAAGGATCTTTTCTTGCTTGCTTAGTTACTGAACAAATGGGGGCTGGAAGATATATATAGGCACATAAAACAATAGCCTAAAACCCAAGAAAATCACCAAAACCAACAAAATCCCCAAAATCCCATAGTCTGAAAATTTGACTGTTACAGTACTTTCAATCGACCGATAGACCATGGTTAGTCGACTGACTAGATGACTATTGGCAGACTAGAAAATCTTGAGCTCGTTCGGTCGACCGACAATGTTATATCGGTCGACTGAACCTACGCAATCGGTCTACCGAACATTGTGTTATGGTCGACTGATGACCGATTGTCTGCAAGGTCTGTAAACAGACCTCCTGACCTATCAACCAACGAGTATGACCCGGTCGATCGGAAATAGATACTTCCAGACACAGGTTTTAAGTTGGAAATCAGATTTTGTAAATTCATAATAAAATAACAAATAAACTCTAAAAAAAGTAAAATTTTGGGGAATGGTTATAAACATGAAAACAAACATGTTTGAGAAGAAATTTTTAAAATCTCAATTACCATTTGTAAAAACTCACTATTTTGTAAAATGTTTAAAAACACAAGTGTGTGTGAATGATCCCTAAGTGCTTCAAAAGTTATCTACGTTAATTCTTACCTACATTATGATCTAGAGAGAAAGTGAAAATACAAATATTGCCCACATATGTATACAACTCTTGAGGCTCGATATTTGCTGATTTGTTGATGAAGCTCCTCTTGTATATGTTGCTCTTTAGATAGCTTTTCTTCATCAACTTGCCTCCACCTCCTTGGATATCATCGTTATGGCGCACGTTCCATCTGTTAGACCCTAGAGGGGGGTGATTAGGGTATTATGCTAATCTAATCCGATTAAATGCCAATTAAAAATAATTAACAACTATATTCTTGCAAGATAGGTATACAATCTAGATCCATAATTTTGCGTTCACATTGTTGGACTTTTGGTTCATGAAAAGTCAATTTTGCTTTTGTGAATAGTCCCACATAATGAGAAGAAGTTCAAGAAGTTTATAATGGTTCACATCTCAATGGGCTTTGAGTTAGTGTTTTGGGCCTAGTGTTGTTTGGGCTATTGCTCCACACGCCACGCCACGCCGCGCGCGCACGAGTTTTTTGCCTCTCAAGTTTTATTTTTTGCACGTTTTACACAAGTTTGTAACGGTTGCGGGAGTTATGGAAACGTATAACGGACGCGGGATTTTTGTGTAACGTCTGCGAACTACCAGCGACGGTTAAGAAGAGCAAGGGCTATATAAAGAGCTGAAGCTCATTCGGAAGAAACACAGCAACAAGAAGAAGTGAGAAAAAGAAACATCCAATCCTCTCTTTCCCTCAAAATTCTGAGAGCTACGCTTTTCCTCAAAAAATTTCTCAGTTACTATTTACTTATATTTCGGGCAACCATCTTCGTCTGAGCAGAAGCTTTGCTACTCGCGCCCGAGTACAGAGGCCGGCCGTTTCTGAGGGCTTTTACCGCTAGGGGGGGAGGAATCATTTGCGCTAGGGCGATAGGCGGGTTCTCAATCTTCTAGGGCAGTGATTACACGACTGTTCTACAGCTAGGGGGTGAGGATCGACTGCGCCAGGGCGAAAGGCGGGTCCTCTATCTTCTAGGATAGTGAATCACGACTGCACCCGTTCAGGCCTGGTGTTCTAACTCTTTTATTTTCAGTTTTATAATAATTGTTTTAATTTTTAACAGCACACATTTCACCGCCGGCGATCGGATAGTCCTTAATGTTGATTTGAGGCTCACTAAATATGCCTTATTATCGCTGGTGCTAATAAATAGGTCTCAGTGGTATAGAGGTGCCACTAAATTTTATAATCTGGTAATTTAGCTCATATATATTTGTTGCTGTTGCGCGCAGCGGAAATTTCGGCAGCACTTTGGCAGCACAACAAGAGAGTCGGGTCGCAATAAGAATTCTTGTTTCTCAAAGGGAACAAGAATCTGAAGCCTAATATCTCATCAAAGTGGGATATTAGCTCTTCTTCTCGTCAGCTCTAGGACTGTGCGTCGAGGGAACCTAAAAGCTATTACAAATCACACAAATAGCGAGACAACCAATTTTTACGTGGTTCGGCAAATTGCCTACATCCACGGGGCAAGGAGGGGGGAGATCTACTAATAGAGGGAGAGATTACAACTAGGGTTTACAATCACTCACAAACTAAAC